ACTGCACAAGTTGTTTGGGTAAAAAATTTGATCAAAGAATGTAAAGAAAGATAAGTGCATAAATATCACAAAAACTGATTGTGTAATATGAAAATGAACATATGCTTCATACTCTACCTAGGCATCTCAAATAGATGCAACTTATGCAGACCGGGATTTTGAAATTCTATATTCATGTGCTTATTCGAATCCAGCCTAGAAGATGCCATTTATTCTCTCTAAGCATCAGGCTCACATGTTTCTTTTTTCTGTTGATGCTTCTTCCAGGAGATTGGCTCCTGTCCAAATTGCACATGCAAATTTTTTAACACGAAAGTACTATCACAGAGGAAAGTGAGGGAGCTATAAATGAGATTCTGTAGTGCCTAATCTGTGAGAAATATGTAAAGTTGTTTTTCTTTTGGAGGTTTAGTTATTTTATATCTTCTACAATTGATTTGAATTATTGAACTTTCATTTTGCAAACCGTAAATCATGCAGTGTGGATATGAATTCTATATCCTCCAGTTCTATTAATCCATATGTTTCGTTTTGCGGGCATAAATGCCAAGAGGTATTTCTATTATACTATTTGTGAGTTCTCCTGTATGATATGTGGCATATTAAGAATCACTAAAAATTATCAACTTCGTTGTTCACTATTTTTCGATTGTTGTCCTGTTGAAAATTCTAATGGAGTTAACTTTCATTTAACTTCATATTAAATAAATAACATTTGGCATAAAGTCCATCCATGTGTTGAAAAATGCAGTTAAAATTGAGAATCAAAATTATGCAACTAATTGCATAGACAATAAACAAGAATAAAGGAAAAAATGGGCTGAAAAAACTTCAAGGACTGTAAAACTGATCCAACTGAAAGGATCTGCTAGCCAAATATGATGCAGATACAGCCAAAAAAGGCAAAAAATTGGACTTCAACCCTGAAATAATATAATAATCCGAAAATCAGCTTTTATTGTATGAATCATTTCTTTATTTCTTCTTGACACAATATTTTCAATGAACAACCTATCCTTTAATTGGCCCCAACACTGTAATGTGCGTATTTGTGATCTGAAACTGTCCAAATTGCAGGTGGGTTCATTGAAAATAGTGTGTCAAGAAGAAATAAAGAAATGATTCAGACAATAAAAGTTAACTCTGGGATTATTATATTATTTCAGGGTTGAAGTCCAAAATTTTGCCTTTTGTTGGTTGTATCTGCATACTATTTGGCTAGCAGATCCTTTCAGCTGGATCATTTTCATAGTCCTTGAAGTTTTTTCATCTCATTTCTTCCTTTATTCTTGTTTACTGTCTATGCAATTAGTTGCATAATTTTGATTCTCAGCTTTGACTGCATTTTCCAACACATGGATGGACTCTATGCCGAATGCTATTTATTTTATATGAAGGTAATGACAGTTAATTCCATTAGAATTTGCAACAGGACAACAATAAAAAAATAGTGAATAATGAAGGTTGATAATTTTAAGTGATTCTTAATATGCCATATATCATACAGGAGAACTCACAAATAGAATAATAGAAATACCTCTTGGCATTTTTGCCCGCAAAATGATACAGATGGATTAATAGAACTAGAGGATATAGCGTTCATATCCAGACTGCATGATTTATGGTCTGTAAAATGAAAGTTCAATAATTCAGCTCAATTATAGAAGATGTCAAACAACTAAACTTCCAAAAGCAAAACAACTTTACATTTTTTCTCACATAGTCTGCACTAGAGAATCTTATTTACAGCTCCCTCACCTTCCTTTGTGATAGTACTGCCGGTGTTAAAAAATTTGCATGTGCAATTTGGACAGAGCCAATCACCTGGAGGAAGCATCTACAGAAAAAAGAAACATGTGAGCATGATGCTTAGAGAGCGTGATGTCATCTTCTAGGCTGGATTCGAATAAGCACATAAATAATATTATAAAGTACAGAATTTCAACATCCTAGTTTGCATATGTTGAGTCTATTGGAGATGCCTAGGTAGAGTATGATGCTCTAAAAAATAAATATCCTAATTAATGTTCATTTTCATATTACACAATTAGTTTTGGTGATATTTAAACACTTAACTTTCTTTCCATTCTTTGATCAAATTTTTCACCCAAACAACTTGTGCAGTAATTGAAACTTAACTCCTTTATCATGTATCCTTCAGCTGAACTTTTTGAAACTGTGGGACTCATGTTCACAACAATTGTCATAGTTAGATGTTGTCAGCTGGAATTGGAAATGCATATGAAAGTACAAGCTTATATACTAGCTACACTAATTGACCTACTTGTTAACATGTGTAACAAACTAATGTCAACATCTTCAGCTGCTCAACATTTGGAGATTTTTGGCAGTCTTGAAGAACTCAAGTGTAGGCCAATAATATTTCCTTTGTGGTCACTACTAAGGTTACTTTAGGTCCAAAATATATTGCCTATCAACATTGAACTGATCATTTTACAAGTTCACTGTTATAAGATTGTCAAGAAAGTAGACTAACTCTGTCAGTATTTCAAAATACACTGACTGAAGTATGCTACTTACGACCCTGAAGTTTATTGCTGTTTTGAGTAGATAGATCATGTTTGTTATTGATCGTTTTGTTCATTTGGTTGGCTGTTTTGAAAGTCTCTTTTAATAGGTAGTCCTTATTTTCATTCTCCAAGTTGCATATAATTCATCATCCAGTTTTTTTCTTGCCAGTTCATTTTCTAATTTGTTTCGCAGATTATTTTCCCAAGCTTTGTTCGAGTCCGAGATTATGCCCGGAATTCTCAACTGTCGTTAGTGTTCGAGTTTCGTTGTAAAGATCGTCTCCCTGCTCTACCCTTTCCAGTTCACTGCCCAGAGAAAGGTAATGTCGTTTTCCTCATAGTGCTCTTTTCGCCTCTGCTTCTATTTTAAGAGTGATATTGTGACTGTTCGTAAATTGTTTAGATAAGTTTGTTTCTTTTTATTTGATTTATCTTTGAGTTGATGTTGATTCAATATGAGATATATTTTTTAATTAGTTATTTTTGCGGGTTTGATGTAATATCGCATAAAATATTTGAGAATTTGTATTCATAGTTGTTATTCCCCTACTTGTCATTCGAAGTTTTATTTTGTTGTTTCTCTTCTTTATTTTGCTCTTGGAAGTGTGAAATACTTTCCTAAAAAAAATTTAATATATGTATTTCATAAAAAGTAGACTCACTCTGTTAGATGAACAGTTCAGATGAATCTAGAGAACATGAAATTGTATGTTGAACAATTCATGTGAGTCTAAATAGTACACAAAGATTTGGGTTTTTATGCAATTTGTGAATGAGTATGAAATAGGGAGAAAGTGGGTTGAGGCCAATTTGGGTATACTTGTTTAGCATTATGTTCTCCAATTTGTATGCAATGATATACTCAGCAGTTAGCCTGCAATGCGATCCGATCTCACTCTTTTTCTCTGTCAATTCCTTGCTCTACCAGTAGTTGAAAGTTTTGCATTTTCAGCACTAGCCACTAGGTTGATAGGAAATTTTGTTAGTTTTCTGAAAAAGGTTGCCAGTTCTCTCCATTTAATCTAGGTCCATTACATAGAAATATGTACTTCAAACATATTTACTTAAACATAATCATGTTTGTTTCTTAAAAATGTTCCTCGAATGGAAATGTTTCTCAAACATATTTTTTTATTTAATTATAGGTCATATCTGAGGTAAACTCTAAAAGTAGAAAACAACAATAGTGGAGGAATCAAATGGGACCGATTAATTTTGTATGAGTACGGGTGACATTGGTAATAATTATTAGGCATGTGAATTTCCTTTTTCATACATAATTAGAACATGTTGATTTTTTTAAATTTCTTTTGATATAATTGGTAGTATGTAGCAACAGAAAAAACAACGAGGAACCATCACAGTCCTAAATGTTTATCGCAACTCGTACAAATTCGAGAAGGAAATTTAGCCCGATATTGAAGTTGAAGTATTTAGTTTTTTAAATAGGATTATTGGTGAATTCGATTCAGAATTAAAATTTGTATATTGTGGACAGTGTGAGACCATTGTATTTTGTTAAGCATGTCATCATCATTTTCTTCTTTTTGTACAAGTATGAGGATATCTTAAATATGTTTTATTTTGAATTCTTTGCTGGGAAAAGTAGTTAGCTTTTTTTGTTCTTGATTACTAATACAGGAACAGTTGCTCGGAAGGAAGGTAACAAATGAATCATAAGGTGATTTTGGTCTTAAAGTAAATAGTTCTTACAGTTAACTATGTATGACAATTTTTATTCAACAGGTTGAACTTCTGAATCGTCGAAATTCTGGAGAAACAGATGATGAGTCCTTCAGGACAGTGATTGGAAAGGAGCAACCTGGACGACTTAGGTGCTATGGAAGATCAGTGACAACAAGTTCTCTGAAACAAGATGAGCAAACTAACTAGATCAAACAAAAGCATGCTAATGAATTCACTTCTCTAAAGAAAGAAATGAATTATCACTTGTGATTGGGGATCAGATTGACACATCCCGACAAACTAACTTGGATACAGTTGTCACTTTTTGGCACAACTGTTGGATCGGAGTCCTGTAGGCAGTCGATTGCCCGTTTGCTTCCACTGGCTTACGTCGTGAAAACCCATCAATAAAATAATGAAATGAAGAGAGGGGCTTTTCATCTTCATCTAGTGGAACTTTACCAATATTCTTTTGTTCACTGAAAGATTTGTATGCATATTGTAATGATTGAATAGATTCAATTAATTTAGAAAAACCAATCATTTAGGGTTTTCTATAGGAAGAATGTTATCGAGCTAAAGTAATTTTAAACATCTACAATGTTGACGGAAGTATGAAAAGGGATAAAAGTTGATAATGGATCGACTTTGAAGGGGCATTTTTAACAATAGTGCACTTTGAAAGCATTGTAACAACTCAAGGCTTGGCTGGTAAACTTGGTTGGGTTGCGTACCAATTTGTTGTAAAGTTTGTCTTACTAAATAGTGACTTACATTTTCCAGCCTGAAGGCTTGATATCTAGTCAACGGAAGAGCAAATTATACAAATGGAAGAAGACATTCTATGGTCTAAAGCAAGTTCCACGGGCATGGTATAGAAAATTTGATTAATTTTTTCAAAAGCAGTAGTTCCAAAGAAGGGAGAATGACCCTGCATTTTTGTAACAAAGTGAGGCATTGGTGATGTTTTTCTTTTCTATCTTTATGTTGGTGAGGTTCTTGATGACTATGTAGTTGCTTTGATTTGATTTGGCTAATATTTTAAACCGAACAAGCAGTTGATAAGAATCTTTATTTCAAAAAATAGTTCTTATGAAAATCACATGACTTTCCTCTATAAGTACAACAATTCCTCTAGCAAATAAAATCAAAGAAAAAATTAAAGTCTAAAATGTATTATTCTAAAAAATAAAAGCAATAAACAAGTTTAAAAAAATAGAACATATTCCTCCAGTAATAACTAATCACAGAAACATCCACGACAACAGAACTAAAATTCTCCAAACTTTTCACTGATTTTAAAAAAGTCTTTAACTCGAATTGTCACAAGAAAATCACAACAATATTCATCGTAGTTAGATCAAGTAAACAAAATACCTCAAAACTTAAATCTTGAGCTAAATCAGACACAGAAATGAAGAGTGAGGTTTACTTCAAGTGAATATCAACTAGTTCTTGATGACGAGGTTATACCAATAGGGGCCTGCAACATTACAATATTTCATTACCTTGGTTATTAGAAACAATATGAAACAATAACAATATAAATAATGTACAATGTGGAGCTATGTCAAGAATACCGAAAAAATATCATCTTAGTCAAAATAAAATCAAAAGTAGTTTTTAACCAATAGATAATACTTCATTCTTTCTGACTAAAAAAGACATAAAAACTTTTGTTATTATGCATATAGGATGAATTTGATTTCAAATCTAACTGTAATCCTTGGTTATTTCTCTCAATACAAAGTTAATCTGCGACACTATTGTAAATCATCAAAACTATTCATCTGTACAACTCTAATCAGAAAATAAAGTGTTTTCAAGTTTGTTCATTCACATAATCTATCAAATTGTGGACATTCACAACATAAGTTAGATTGCAGGTAGACATTTGTTTAAGATCAGCTTGAGTCAACAGTTTCGATAAAAAAGTCATTCCAGTCAAAACAATCATTTACTGCTACACGTGTGCTTCCTTTTAAATGTACTAATCTCAATGGCAGTTAAGAGTAATCAGTCAATGATGCAATATCAAGCAATGAATATGATTTTTGTTTCGTTTTCTGAAAAGACAGACAGAGGAAGATAACTTCAGCAAGCATCAATATGAGATAATTACTTAATATCTTCCATTAGACAAATACTTGAATGTTGAGAAAATTCAAAGCAACTCTCAAAAGTACGTCGTACTAAAACTATTCTCATTCATTTGTGTTGTTAGTGTCTAAATATATACTGATTACTTTCATTTTTAGGAAAATATAATTAAAAAAGTTTCCTTCTCATATAAACCTCATGATATATTAGGGAAAACATAATTTCTAGAAAAAACCCTATTTTCAGAACACTTAATTTCTAAAACCCTTATTTTGAGAAAATATCAATTCTACTTCAAGCAATCACACTAAACAAAATGGAAAGACTTAAGAGTTAAAATATCATATTGTCATACACCCAAACCACTAAAATCTCTATTTTCAGAAGACGAGTTGAAATAGAAAATAATGATTTTTTTCAAGTGAAGCCATTGATACCCAAATCTAGCGAATCTAACATCTAAACGCATAAACAAGTTGGATTCTTATTTTGCGGAAAGAAAATGTTACACTACCCATTTTGAGAATCAATCCTATTGAGATAAAGAGCTAAACGAAAGTGAAACTGAGATGGGAGATTGAACTTACAATGGAGACTTGAAAAGCTAGCAATGTAGACTTGGAAATCTTAAATGGAGCTTGCAGCGAGATTTGGAAAGCTTCCAATGGAGCTTGGAGCGAGAAATGAAAAGCTTCAATGGAGATGGAGCTTGAGAAAGGCTTCTTTGGAGCGGGAGGTTGAAATGTTGAAATGACTTTGTTCCCTTGAATTTATGGTTTTATAAATGTTTCGCAACGGATTTACAGATGGATTTTAACATTCATCGCTTTCAAATTAATGTATTTATTTAGAAAAAATATAATGACGGATATTTTCATCACTATGCAATATAAATTATATAAAATATATCAAAAAGATTAGCAACATTATTTTGGTCACTAATTCCGTCGCCTGATATTTATTAATTTTGTCACAAGTACTTTGTTACTAAATCCGTTGAAAATATTAGGCGCCAAAATTTTGCGCTTACATTTAGCAACACAAAAAATATTCTATTGCTAATCCGTCTCTTTTTTTATTACTCAAAGAATTATTTTTTAATTTTGTAACAAAATGGTAATTCTGTTGCAAATCTGTCGTTATATAGTGACGGAATAGCATTCGTCACCAATATCTGTCGCTAAACACTGTTTTGTTAGTAGTGACCATTATGCTTAGTCCAACTTGACTATGGCTACAAATCAATATTTTCATCAACACGACACCTCAAATTCATGTATGCTCATAAAATTTTAAAGGACTAACCCAATCTTGGTACCCACCTTCTCACTAAAATCTTCAATTTCCTTCACCCAAGTATACTCAATGTAACTTTCTTGTTCCATAAGTTTTGGTATTAATCCACTCCCTTATGGATTAAAATAAAATCATCAGTCCTCATACTACCCTCCCTCTTATCAAACAAGACAGGAGACCCACTTGGGAACACTAGGACGGATGAAACCTTTATCACGAAGCTCTTGGGTTTGAGATTTAAACTCTCTCAATTCTAACATCACATGAATAGACTCAATACAGGGAGATTCGACATCAACATCCCGAATATGAGCCAATTACACCAAACAATCCTTCCCACAAATTTCCTACCCTGCATGAAAAATATGACCTTAGATGACTTAGGCTTGTACCATTCCCACTCTAACCTTACTCCACCAGAGATCTCTCGAGTTACCGATATTAGTATTACAATTAAGCTCGGTATACTAAAGAGACAATCAAGTCATGTCTAAGATTGTATCAAGTCAGTCATATCCAACACAAACATATTAGCCCAAATCTGAAATCCAAAACACAATAGGACAACACGATATATATGGGTGACTATGACTGACTCTTCAACTAGGGTGGAAACATGGATGGGGGAAGCAAGTTTATCACCAACCACATAAAGTCCCAAGTCAATTGAACTGACACACACAAATAAGCAGAATCCGGATCAACCACATATCAGTAATCTGGCCACAATAATTTCAGCATTGTGATCACTACATCCGACCCTCATATGCCTAGGTTCTCCATAATCTTAACACACCTTATAACTTATATTAGATTGTTTAACAGTGAGGTACAACTCGGGGTCCTTATTATGACTAGGTAAACTAGGGGAGATGGGGCTGAGATACTTTCCCGCTCTAACGTACCTCATCTCATTGTAGCAGTGATGTCACTACGACAATATTCCCGCTATAGCGTCATAAAGTGAACCAGTCACTCCCTTGTTGAACGTACAATTTTAAGTCCCACATCGTCTGCCACAATAGTCATTACCCAACTATAAAGGCCACTTTCTCACTACAACGATACAATTCGTAACAGAAAGTTCTCAGAAGAAATTTATTTCCCTCTTTTTACAAAACGCCTCTAACTTGCTAGCTCCGAAAATACCCCTTCGGTCAATCCCACTATACACAAACCAATTCATTCCAATTAATTATCTACCACATCCCTAGGATTAACCCAGACAGTCACACGATCCTTAGTCAAGTTCTTCCTTTCACAATTAGTTTCACCATACTCAAGTATTTACAACTTGCACAATTTCAACATTTTGGCCAGCACATTGCACATATCAATAGTCAAGAACACATTTATTGTGCACGTAATCACCTCATCATATTAAATAAATACAACTTCACATTTGTGGATAATTGAGACAACTAGAAGCACACATTCAAAGTTTCCAAGATGCAATTCACAAATAAGTCCAAATTGTTAATTATTTATTTCATTACATGGATGACCCTTCCTAATTATCCATGCATTCAAACCACCCTTAGTTCTAGATACCAATTTGAATCTTCTCCATTTCTAATTTTCTTTGCTTGTGTCCCATCTAGATCACTTCGTCGAAATAACAATTAGCTCAACTCATACCATAAGCCACAATAGAAGCTAGCGACCCCATAAAACTGCAAATTTCAAACATAGAACTTGGTCGAAACCAATTCCTTACCGCCTCAATCCAAAATTTATCGTAACGAGACCTTAAATCAATCTTCGAGAAAATTGATGCAATTTGCAATAGGTAAAAAGGTCATCTATCTGAGGCAATTAATACTTGTTCCGAATAGTAACCCTATTCAAATGTCGGTAGTCTATGAACCCCCACTCTTGCTAGGATGTTATTACAAACTTTTGTTGCTCTAGTCCAGACCGTATAGTTGAGGAAAGATACCAATTTGTATCACCCATATACCAATTGGATTCAAGACATAGCACGAAAGACTAGGAAGAAGTGAGTTTCTCCTAATGTCCTACAGTGTGTCCAAGAAAAGTACAAACATTATCGTACCGTTCCGCAAGACTCTACTAGACTCATTTTGGTACAATGAGATCAACGAACCTAGGATTCTAATACAAATATAATCACAACAAAAAATGTTGTGATTGACTCGCACACTAACCATTCGATGGTGAACCTCTAATACAACCCAAACTAAGCAACTAAATAAAAAATAAGTTAATTAAAGATACAAAAACAATTTTAAATAACTAAATTACCTATTAAGGAACTAAACAAATGCACTAACATGAATGCGAAATACAACCTCTAGAACCTGAAAGTTATTGTACCAAAACACTAATAACTATCAGTCTAAGAACAAGGGGTATAATTCTAAAACTAAACAACACCTTAACAAATAGTATGAGTCCGAAAATAACAAATTAAACAAACAGAACTAAAGGCAGCGAGGAAGAACTAGCTCACCCTTGAATTCAAAACAATGATTGATCTTCTAAACTATATTTGTCAATAGCCGCCAGAAGATGCTCTGTACTGAACAAAAATAAAAAAAACTGTAGTATCAGTATCCAATTACAGTGTAAAGATTGGATCACATGGCTATCCCACTGAGTGAAACACATGTTAGTAAACACAATGTTATAAAATATGCATATACAAAATATATACAATATAATCATTCACCTCAACGAATA